TCTTACAAGGATTATGAAATATAATTTTTTTGTTAAACGATAACACGAAAAATGGTCAGAGAAAAAAAACAACAACAACAACAACAACAAAAATACGGTTAAAACCACGGGAAAAATGTCTAAATATGCATTTATTATAAGGAATTCATAATAATTAGAAAATGAACAATCGCCATTTATCTAAAGATTTATTGGAAAGAACGAAGTGCAACAGTTCAAAGGCAAAATGTCGAAAATTGTATGCAGTTGTGGCGAATATTAACGAAGGAACACCAAACTTAACTAATTAGTTGAAGTGTAGAAATTAATGTTTTTTTGTTTCATAATTATATTGCATTTATCAGTATAAAAGTCATCTAAATCTAGCGGTTTAATAAAGTCCGATTGAATTTAATATAGTTAGCAATCACAATTAAATGTAAGTTATAAATTTACATTGGTACGTGGTTTATTATTAATTTTAAGGTAAGTTGTTGAAGTTAAGTTTGTATTGGTTACAAAATATCTATTTACAATATGAACCATATAAATCATGTATTTATTTAGTCGGCAGTGAAACAACATAAATCTGTTTCTTTTCTCTTTAATTAGAAACTTGGTAACGAAGCTAAAAGTTTTGTAACTTATGTTGTTACTTTTTAGAACACGTGTCTTCCACAAAGAAATCAAAATTTGCTTGAAACTCGTATTTTCGGAAAATGAGACTTATGCAGTTTCTCAAATGAAAGGAATAAAACAGAATAAATGCATAATTCTTCTAATTTCTATGTTATTTAATTTCTTAAGGGTGTTTGAAGAAAAAAAAATAACTTCAAGAATGAAACAAAATCCACGCATGATATAGAGAAAAAAACGGCTAGATATACCATTGATAGATAGACAAAAAAGCTGAAGAATCTTAAAACAGATTTTTGAACGGAGAAAGGTTTATGTATGAGGATAGATTTAACTATTTGGGCATCCACAAATCCCCATTTAACTTAACTAATATTAACTTAATTAAATATTAAAGAAAAAGTGGCTAAATTTGCAGTCAATAGTATTCGGAAAAATAATAATTGAATAGTACTTCACTTTATAAAAGTTTTCAATAGTGCAATTCAGACAGTAGTGGGTTATGAGAACAAGTCTGGGGATTCGAGAATTCGCATGAAATTGAGAAGCTACAGAAATATTTCATGAAAAAATTACTCCCGACAAATACATCTACCGAATATCGTTTATATCTAGAAAGATATATCCCACCCCTATACAGTTATACAATAAAACTGCACTTAAATTACACTTCAAAAACCCTAAATCAGCAAACAGATTGACAAGTGTTCTGGCGAAAGTAGTAAATACAAAAAAATATTATGGTATAACAATTAGTTAACGTTAGGTAGAAAGTTTGAAAATAAAATAAATAGAGAGAATCTTAAAAAATTCAAGACATAAAATTTAACAATAGAAATAGATACAAAACACAAAACTCAAATGTTAATTAAAGCCCAGAAAAATGAACACAACGAACTACCCCAAAAATTAAATTCACAACCAACAAGTAGCTATGTAAACAATAATAAAATTAAATGATATGCAAAAACACTATTTCAGAGCAAGAAGGAAACTTCTTCAGTTAAATTATCAACCAGGAGAGACAAGGTATTTGCATAGTCCATGTGTAACCTAAATACAAGCGAAGATACCGTCCATTTCCTAGAAATATGTCCTGTTCTGAAAGATCTACACCAATTGCAAAACATTTAAATAATATACAGTAATGAACTACGGAAGACTTTCTTTCCATGAACTCCTATTTGCCTTATAATATTATTATTATCAAGTTATATGTATATTATTACTAAATTATTCAATTGCAAGTAACTAAAATAAATAACTTTGTGATTTAAAGATCCAACAACTTAACAGCTTTGCCTTTAGTGCTTTTAACAAAGAAGATTATCTTTTTTGTTTAGCTGTAAACGAATTATTATCTGTTTCTCTTCTAGTGTATATAATTAACAACAAAAATATTCATTAATTCAATTTTAAAATTGACATTAAACTTAACATGTTTGTATGCATGTTTTAACATAAAGTTCTATACATTCATGTACTTCCATGTCATATGGATAAATGATTTATTTTTATTACAAGTTGAATATTTCGAAAGACCAACAAATACATAGCTGGAAAAATGAGTTAATTTTACATCTTTGCTTTTTGTCCTACAAGAGGGATTAATGTCCATCTACTCGTCGGGTGTCGCGGACGAGGGATCAAACCAGATTACAAGTTTCAAATTATTCTCAATTAAAATTCCAAGGGCTATGCTGGGATGCGAACCCAAAACCGTTAGCGTGGCAAATATGAATACTTCGTAACATGAAAATGTGTAAATTAATCAGTACTATACTAAAAAACATGATTTCGATGTACGTACAATATTGGCTTGTGGACCGTTTCATTTCATATTTTTGATTTCTTACTGGCCGAGAGGTAAAGGTTAATTAAGTTGAATAATTGGTGAATTGAAATGACACTAAAAATAAAATATATTTGCCACGTGAAACAATTGGAACATTTAATTTATTTTGGAAGATCGTAAAACAAAAAACAAATCTGTTAATAAGATTGACATGATTTAATTATACACTTAATAAAAATTAATCAATCAATGGAATTTTTTAAAAAAACTTGCAACGGTTGTCATTTATTTTGGATTTTATTGATCGGAGTCGATGCAGATTTCTTTTCTTTATAATTTTTCATGAATTTTGTTTTCTTTGAAGAACGTTTAAATATGTATTTATATAAATTACACCGTTAGATATTACACGTCGATTCAGTAATATTTGTCCATTAAAGATGGGGTGTTTTACCCCTAGTAAGGCTTAGAACTTTACTTTTTTTAAACTTTTTTTTAAAATTTCAAATATATACTATTTACGGTATGGTAAATAACTAAAATGAAATAAAACACACAAACTCTGGAACTTACAGGAAAACTTCCCGTCGAAAAATGTACCTTTGCTTTAATATGGTTGGTTAAATTATCTTTTTCAAGGGAGATGATAGTTTTGTTGCAAACTGATTTATAAATATGTATTTAAAACACGGCTTCAATAATGAAAATTTATTTTATGTATGTATAATAACGTTTTTCGTAAACAGGTAAGGTTTAAGTGGAGGTAGATTGTTAATTAATACTAATAAAAGTTATGTAAAAGAAAAAACTCAAAGTAATTTTAATGAAATGTACGAGAAGCCAAATTATAGTCAATCTGTAAAATAAAGTAGCCAAAAATTTTTTTCAAGTCAGCGGATTAAGTAAGTAGTCTAATAATTAGTAAGTAGTCTAATAATAATGAAAGGTTTCATAAATCTGAATGAAAGGGATTTTTCGTTTTTTTTTCTGGAAAGAGTCAAAACAGGGTAGTTAGTTAAAAGGTGTAATAGTTCATTTAGGAGCCTTAGCGCTACATAAAGGACACATTGAATCCAATTAGAAAGAAAATGTTTGCCTGTTTAAATAAATCCGTATAACTTTTTGTTACCTAATCTTAGTTGCACAAAGAACGATAATAAGTATTATTCTGAACAGACTGAACATCTGGACTAATTAGATTATTTTTTAAAAATGAACTAAATTTTCCTGAACTAATTTCAACTCTAGGTCCAGCGATAGTATTTTGTGCCGAAGGATGTGCGATGAAAATTTTACAAAATATTTCTTGCGAATGTAATAAATATAATGCAAATATTAAATTTGACGAAACACCATTGGGTAAAAATATTTATAAATTAACCACACTTCACCGAAAATAAAATTTCTGTCTGTTAAAATAAAGACGGCTTTTTGTTAGGCAATCATATTGTTCTATACCGACTGTTCTAGACGGACCCTACATCTAGACTGATCAAATTATTTTTAAAAGATGCCATCAAATTTTCATTATTTTTCTCAACCAATTTCAATTCCAGGGCCAGAAATATATTATGCTCATGGCGAAAATATTACAAAAACATTCTTACGAATATAATAAATATAATAAAAATAGAAGTGATAAATTATTATAAAACCTACCTCTCTTCTTGTTTTTACACCGCATAAAAGTGCATAAGATTTACAGTCATGTCATCGCCTGACGTTATTAAAAAGCAAGTATGATTTTTTTTAAATATATAAAATTTAAAATACACAATAGGTCATATTAAATTGGACAAAACACCATCAGGCATGTAGCATATTTGCAAATTAATCAAACTTTACCATTTCTGGAGATGATATTTTGGCATATACATTGGCCGTTATGATGGCTGGTAGAGAAATACAAAATCATACAATCTATCCAAAAATTGATGAATTAATTATCAAAATAAACAGGACAATTATTTTTTTAGATTAATCGGCGTTTGGGTAATTCGCAGGCACGATGATAATCGTTCAATTAATAAAATTAGATTAAACTTAATTATATAATTAATTAACTCAACAAGCTTTTCATATCTTTTAAAAAACAACGTTGTTTTTTAATTTAAAAATTTGACAGGAAACTTTTTTTCAGTGTTTAACCTTTTTCTGTGTTGTATATCAGGTGAAAATATACTTATTTGATTAATTTAAAATTGTATTATGATTAATTTAATTTGTACTTAAGTAGTTTTATTTGACAAGTTTTAAGCGTAGGAGTGAATAAGAGATGATTGATTGATTAATGATCTTCCTTGCCTATTATGACTAGTTTTTATTCGGATGATCAAGAAGGTGGATGATCGCGCTTAACGATTACATAACTTCGGTTATAAAGTGACATATATCACATTTTGGGCCTGTTTTTTACGTAAGTGTTATACCTTGGTGTTAAAATTCAATCAGATCACTAGACGTGAGGTGAAATCTTTTGGTTAATTCTCGCGTAAAATTCTGTTTTGAACCGGCAGCGAAGTCTGTCTTGTAAAGAAAACTTGTTTTTACAATAATAAATAGCCGTTTAGGCGAGAGACACCGAACCCACCTGGTGGTTGAGGTACGGACGGCAGTACTGGTATCGAAGCGGGGACGGGCAGCGCGTCTAGCCTCCAGTTGGTGACGACCGCGTCCGCCGAAGGCGATGGATTCGTTGACGGCTGGGGCGAAGTCCGACATAATGCCGAAACTGAAAAGTCGGACAATTTTTGCGAGGTGGTCGTGTTGGAGACGAGCATCCTTCACCGGCGCAGAGTTGACTGAGGAGCAGAGGCAGAAAAGGGCGTAGTGGGGTCGTGGCAGAGGGGGCAAACTCCAACCATCTACCTGCCGCTGCCTGACCAACTGTTCACCTCTCTCGCTCTTTTCTCTTCCCCTCTCATTGATTTCTGACACCTCCTACCGCTGCCCCGAAGAGGAATTGGCCATTCTACGCTTCTTTCGCCTCTTCCAGCTCCTTTTTCCGGATACTTGATTTTCTCCCCCCGACGAAGATTTGGAACCTCGACCTGTCCCGGAAGAACCGTGGAAAATTGTTATTCGTACGGTGATAATCGATATCGCTTTGGATAAATGGGCGAGTCCATCGCCCCTTTCAATATTATGACAAGTTTCAAACTCAAGCTTAACCATTACTCTTAAATTGTGCAAATCTCGTCACCTTAAAGGACTACATTCTCCGCTCTTTTTATCCATTTACTCTTAAACATACTTTCACCACTTATTTAAATGGTAGGATCCACAAGGACCATGAATGCCTAACAGTTATTATTTTTTATAATCGAGCATTTGATGTAATTTTGATTATATTTGAAGTTTAACTTATGAAATAGTAAAAGTTTAGTTGTATCGTCCTGAGTCTCCATGAGGATGTCTTGCAGAGTTTTGGGTAAAATATATCTTTATTTACTCTAATATGCATTTTTGGTTACAATTTCATTGCATATGGTATATGTAAATTTGTATAATAATTAATTGTACATAGGAACAAGTAGACTTGCTATTCGATGACACTTAATGGCTTCACAAAACCCGATACTTAATCAGGCTCGAACAATTTCCTCTCTTCTTTGTTCTGATCGATGACGGCTATTCGAAAAGATTTAAAAAATTTCGTTAAGCTAATTATTTCCCGGACTAAGCCAATGTTTCGAGCATTCGATGTAATTTACATTACTTTTGAAGTTTAACTTCCGATGTGGTAAAAGTTTAGTTATATCGTCCAAGCCTCCATGAGAATGTCCTGCAGAGTTTTGGGTAGAAAATGTAAGAGCCTTTGTTTACTCAAATACGAATTTTCTGTTTACAGTTTCATAACATATTTCACATAGGAACAAGTAGACTTGCCATTCGATGACACTTCATGGCTTCACAAAGTCCGATACTTAATCAGGCTCGAACAATTTCTTCTCGTCTTTTTTCTTGATTAGTGAAAGATATAAACAAAAATTCGTTAATCTTACTATTTTTCAGACTAAGCCAATTTTTCGAACATTCGATGTAATTTTGACTTTTTTTGAGGTTTTACTTCCGAAATGGTAAAAAAGAGTTTTGGGTAAAAGATGTCTTTGTTTATTCTAATATGTATTTTTTTGTTACAGTTTCATTGCATATCGTATATGCAAATTTGTATAATAATTAATTGTATATAGGAACAAGTAGACTTGCTATTCGATGTCACTTAATGGCTTAACAAAGTTACTTAATCAGGCTCCAGCAATTTCCTTTCTTCTTTTTCCTGATCGATGAAGCCAGCCATCTCCTAATTTTTATTAAAATTAAATAATTAAAAAAACTAAAATATTTTTAATGATACAACAATTTAAGTTTATATTATTCATATAATTCACTAATTTCGTGGTTCGCTTGACCAATTAATATATTACAATTAATTAAGGTTTTTAGTTGAGATAAAAAAAGTCAATGGCACGAGCGGGATTCGAACCCACGATCTTCGGCTAGGTACGCCGCTGCTCTACCACTTGAGCTATCTTGGCTTCGATCCACTCGGACACTAACTTCCCATCTCAACCCCACCTTTTGAATTTTCTCTCCTTTCTTGCTATTTTTCAAATGTGTAATCGGATTGGATTTTTATTTATTTATTGCGATACCTCAAGTGGTAGAGCAGCGACGTATCTAGCCGAAGATCGTGGGTTCGAATCCCGCTCGTGCTATTGACTTTTTTATCTCAACTAAAAACCTTAATTAATTGTAATTATTCATATAGTTCATTTCACTCATTTGTTTTGGCAAATACATTCAATTCCTCGTCCTCATTATACTGAAAATAGTTTTTCTATTGGAAACAACTTTTATTCTACTAATTGCCCACAAAATAATTATTTTAGATAACTGTTACACCTTTTGGCAGGCTTTGAGGAATATACAATCAAAGTTTAATAAATTGTAACATTCTAGAAGAAAATAAAGTATTTTTTTCCTTTAATTTAAGGTAGTTACAATAAATATGCTTCTGTTTTAAAATAGATATTTCATTGAAATGTTGTTTTATAAAAACTAATTATTATTTATGTTATTGTTCGTTTTTTATTTTTCAAAATTTTCAAATCTTAATTCGTAAAACTGATTTTCTGTTTTTAAACCGTTTGCTTTATCCCAGATTTTCTCATATTTACATATGCAATACAATTATTGACCGATAAACAACTAAAAAAACAAATGGAAATTGATTATCAGACCCAGCTTGCTACGATAGAATTAATTTCCATTATCCAAAAGATACAAACAAATTTGGCAAAATGTTAGTTGATATTTAAATAATCGCAAATATAAAATTGATTAGGTGAATCTCGTAAAATGTTATGACAATCAATATGATTTTAAAAACCTGAAAATAGAAACGTTCATCCTTCGAGTTTAGTTACTTTTTTGAGAAGCCACACAAATTTGAACACAGTTGAAGTTAGTTCAGATACGGACACTTATTGATTAGAAAACTCTATGGAATTACTATGATTTCTCAAAATCAATATCGTCTTATCAACAATTAAACACAAAATGTAAACAGACCAGAGATTATTTTTGACAGTTAAGTCCGCTTTGTGAATTTTGAAAATTTTGAACGTTACTTTAGTTCGGTCAAATATTTATATATGTTTCACACATTTACATACTGATTAGGAGGCATTTAGAAAATTTTTGTTTTATATTATTATTTTGTCGTCATAAGTATTTATCCAGGTAGGCCTGCCCTCGCCGTTAGACCATCACTGTCTCTGGTTCGAATTTCAACGGCCCTGAATTCAAATCCAACGTACTTCTAAATATGAATTTCGGGTTTAAAACCCCATGGAACTCGAGGGTTCATTATGATGCGTCTGACGAATACAGTAAGGACAGGCAGACCTGGATGGCCGATAACGATTAAATTTCACATAGAGAAATCTGACACTACTATGATTTTTTTTAAATCTGGGCTATTTTATCAAAACGTAAACGCAAATAATGAAAATTGCATAGCAAACTTGAGACTTGTTTCTGTTAGGTGAAGCCATTTGAAGCCTCATTTTTGAAAAGCCACAAAACTCCAAAAATTTGAAAGTAAAGTTAGTTATAGTACAATTAATTAAGGTTTTTAGTTGAGTTAAAAAAGTCAATGGCACGAGCGGGATTCGAACCCACGATCTTCGGCTAGATACGGCTCTGCTCTACCACTTGAGCTATCGTGACCTCGATCCACTCGGACACGAACTTCCCATCTCAACCCCACCTTTTGAATTTTCCCTCCTTTTTGCCATTTTTCATTTTATCTCAACTAAAAACCTTAATTAATTGTAATATATTAATTGGACAAGCGGACCTCGAAATTAGTGAATTTAATGATTTAAAATGAAGTACACTTCACTAAAGCTCTCCATGGCCATTTCATTTGTCGTCGAAAATCCAATCCGATTACACGACATTTGAAAAATGGCAAAAAGGAGGGAAAATTCAAAAGGTGGGGTTGAGATGGGAGGTTCGTGTCCGAGTGGATCGAGGTCACGATAGCTCAAGTGGTAGAGCAGCGGCACATCTAGCCGAAGATCGTGTGTTCAAATCCCGCTCGTGCCATTGACTTTTTTATCTCAACTAAAAACCCTAATTAATTGTAATATATTAATTGGTCAAGCGGACCACGAAATTAGTGAATTTAGTGAATTTAGTGAAGTTAGTTATAGTATAGAAAAATTTATTCGCAAGGATACATAGTTCACTTACTTGACTAATGGTTATTAAAATTTAACGTAAAAACAGGAAATGCGTATCAAACCCCCAGACTTGCTTCTCCAACACTTTTAGTAATATATTCGAACGTTTAAGTGAAAATTTAAGGGAGCTTAAAAAGTTGGCCGTGGAATAAATATTATGTTTATCAAATATCTAACGTAAATATTCGAATGTTGGGAATGGGAGGCACATAGGGCTTTCTATTATTATACAAAGTAGATATTATTTTTTATCAAAAACCTAACGTAAATATTCGAATTTTGGGATTGTGAAGCAGTTTGGACCCCTTATGCTACAATTCTTTTCGAACAGATATTATTTACCAAAACTTTACTTAAATATAGACACTGAAAAATTAACTGCATAACTGCAAATCAGATCCCAGATTTTATATAAATCAGCTATGCCCATTTTTGAAGATTCATTTATACAGGAATAAATAAAAAAACATTTTGCAAGCATTATGATTATGTAAATCTTAGAATTGATAAAGTTGTGTGACAGATAAAAAATAACTGCGTACAGCTCCAAAACTTAGTGCTTTTGAGTTAACTTTTTGATCCTTTGAAAGGTACGGAAAAGTTCAAAAAGGCAGGCATGTATTCGAACTATAAATATTGACTAAGAAAACTAATAGGACTCAATACAAATCGATAAAATTATCATATCAAACCACAGACTTGATTCTTCTTAATTAAGTCATTAACAGGAATTATACGAATGTTGAGATTGGGAAGCACTTAGGACTTAGATATGATTTTTTACAATGGATATTACTTTATCAATAGCTAACTTAAAAAAGTAACTGCATAACTGGATATCAGACTTGATGCTTGCTCATCAGTTAAGTCCCAGTTTTGACAAATTTGAAAAATTTATATACATAAAGGCATACATTGAAAAACGTATATTCGAAAAATCTAAGAATTGACAGATAAAATATAACTCCGTACGTGAAAACAGTCTTTGATCAGCCACAAAATTTCGAAGAATACGGAAAGGTTGAAAAATGCAGGAATGTACTCGAACATGAATTAAGAAAACTAACAGTCCTCATTGAAATTCGATAAAATTATGTGATAAATAAAACATAATTGCTTATCAGGCCCCAGGCTCCATTCTTTTCAGTTAAGTCTCCAACA